TGCTTGTTTCTATGGATACGTCATCGCTCTGCCTGGAATGTTCCACAGTGTGACATTAAACAGCTTTTCTTTACATTTATTCAATGACAGGTGGTTTTATGTGTCAAAAATACCTAGAAAAACAAACATTCTGACTGTGAGCGAGGTCGTCTCTCCACAGATCTGACCTGTAACTTGCTCTGGTTTGGTCTCCATGAAGATTAGTTAGTTTAATGCCTGTGACAAAGTGGGTGTTTGTCTCAGTTTAAATTCACCATAGTTAATGTTAAACATTTTGATTTTGAAAAGACATCTTTGCTTTGAAAAGTGACCTGGAACCAATACTCCACTGGGGAGGTACTTCCTGCTGGGCAGAGTATAAAAGGCAAGCAGGCGTCAATTAGGAGAGAGACTTCTGTGCAAGTTGTTAGGGGTTTTTGGATTTGAGTTACTTATTTTCTGTACTTTTCGGTATTAACGCCAGAAGTCTGTTTTAAAATAAATTTTGTCTGGGTGAAGACACTTTTTTTTGTTGTGTCTGAATTCTACTTTGACCATGTTGGCCAGCTTCCGCGCAATGCCATACTGTGGAACATTCCAGACAAAGCAATAACATCTCCATGAAGAAAATCAGGTGAAAGGAGCAGCCCTGACAGAGGCCCGGTTTGGAAAAGGGGGTTGTGCACTTTCCTCCTGGGACTGGGGCAAATGTCTGGATGCTGTAGGCTACGTTATGATCATCTGATGAAACTGAGTCATTGATGTTAAAAGCAGAATAGTCTAAGGTAATATATGTCTGCTTATATTGTGATTATAGGCTACACTTCAGGAATCACTCTGAATGACTCTATAATCTAATCTAGTCTTGAAATATTATTATAGTATTGTGCATTCTGGAACTTTCCAGGTGGAGGGTGAGTCACCATGGAAATATGAAACTTCTTTATTTCCAGTAATAAGAAACAAGCAACAAGTCAGTTTACAGGTCGAGTTTGTGGAGAGGGGGGCCTGCTCAATGTAGAATGCATCATTTTCCAGGTATTGTTTTATTGTAGAGAAAAAAAAACAAAAAACAATTCTTTAATTAATAGATTTTAATGCCATACTGTGGTACATTCCAGGGAAAGTACCAGTAGGTCTCCACCCACTTCCAAAGGATTTCTAAATTACATGTATTGTGCTAAATAAGTCAAAACGCCTTTTACCTTTGTACATGGATCATTTCGATGCCTAACTTTGTGCACTAATAAACAGATAATGTTTATGTTTTATCTGCATCTATCTGTACATCTTCTAAGGCTTTTCATGGCTCTTATATTTGCTCCGTTTCTGGAGACTGGAGATTCCAGCCAGCACATCTCCATCGACACAACAAGGTTCTAGAGTCGAACCAGAAAAGTTACATGGTGAACCTTTAAGCCAACTGTTTAACCTGAAAGTCTTTGGGATGTAGGGTTTCTCCATGGAGATGTTCTTTTGCATGGAATGTTTCACACAATGGCATTAAACTTGGTCATCTCCATGGAGACAAGCAGGTGACTCCAGCAAACCAAGTGTACAAGTGTATGTCTACGTAAAGTGCCTGTAATTGACTCTGACATATACATAAGTCATACTGTGGAACATTCCAGCAAATCAATAACATTTTCATTAGATGAGCTGTAAACTCACATAGTGCCTTTAAAAGTTTCATATTACATCCAAACTGACTCTTGTGAACTTCAAGTCATCTTCTCATGTTGTTTCCTCCTCAAAAACAGACCTGGACTTGGGTTTTGTTTCATTCACATGTTTGAGGAACTCTGCATTATGAGTCTATCTACATCTTCAAAGCTCCAAATGCTCTGTTCCATCTTGTGATGTCATGAAGTGGTAGTTTTCAAGTGAACAGCTCCTTTTCCCTTTAGCTTAGTAGAGATGAGAAATTCCAGCTCTGAAATGACCACACACATTTGTGTGTTTTCAGTTTAGGAGAAGAGCTCAGCCTAAATGTGCAGGTTTGTGTTAAACATGTGAATGAAACAAAACACAAGTGCAGGTGTGTGTGTGATGAGGAAACGACATTAGAACACACATAATACAGACATAAGTAGCCTATTGGTCCTTTAGAGATAAATAACACAACAACATGTCTTAAACCCCAAATTACTCACCAGTAAGTGCCTCTTCAATTCAACTCTAATTCAAGGACATAACCTAGAGCAGCTAACCCAAAACGACCCCAAAGCGCGGATGTTGTGCTCGTTATGGCACCGGGCTCGCGCTGCGTTACTGGCCTAATCTAACACTGTGTTGCATTACAGCGTCGGAGAGCGGCTCCCACAGCTTCACCTACGACCAGGGCGCGTCCACGCTCTCCCCGGGCCACGCAGGCTGCACATCCCCGCTGCAGCCCGCCTGAAGCGCGCTATCCCCGGGTTACGAGCTGTGACAGCCTCCGCCGGATGGTTGACGCCCGGAGGTAACGTGTAAATGTGCGCTGGAAGCGTGGATGTGCTCACGGCCTGTGCATTGTGCGTAGTCTCACCTCGCCTTTTTCTGGCCCGGTTGGATGTTCAGAAACGCGGCTGTACCGTCCGGGGAGGAGTCATGGTCAACAAGGAGACGTAGAGCGCTCCCATGGCGTGAAGACAGTCTACGGGGAGAGAAAATGTCCAAACCGTGTCCAGAAACGGGAGCGGTGTGCGTGTGCGTCGTGTCGGTGTATGGACATGTATCCGCGCGGTGTCCGTGCGCTGCCGCTGTCACCTCCGCTGCATCTCTCGCTCCGCTGCGGATCCGTGACGTGACGTGCGCATGCTCGACACCATCGCCCCTCGCAACAGCATCGGGAGCGCGCACGGGGGGGGTCTTTAAATGCGCGTTCACGGATGACAGTTTTGGCGTCATATGATTTAGGGAAATGCTGCTGCTGCTTGTTCTGCTGCTGATGCTGATGTGACAATCACCACATTTTGATCTTCAAACATCTCGACCCGAGTCCACGGAACGTTTGCTTATACTCATACATACAATACATACATGCATAAATGATATCTATCTATCTATCTATCTATCTATCTATATATATATATATATATATATATATATATATATATATATATATATATAGAGAGAGAGAGAGAGAGAGATAGATAGATATATAGATATATAGATATACACATAAAAATGCATAGTGTGTAATTTATTTTGCTCTATGTAAATATTTGTGAAGTGTCGTGATCGTGTACATGAGCAACTGCATCATCTATGTCATGAACGGGGGGGGTTTGATAGTTGATATATATATATATATATATATATATATATATATATATATATATATATATATATATATATATATACATACACACACACACACACACACATATAGATAAAATAGATAGATAGATAGATAGATAGATATAGATATATAGTTAAAAGTTTTTCTTCTTCCTGCTCCCTTCTGAGAAATTTGTCTTGTTTATAATATATATGTAGAATGTGTATGATTATTGTTTCTCTCTTGGCACTATGTAACTTTTCTCTCTAACACACACACACACACACACACACACACACACACACACACACACACACACACACACACACACACACACACACACACACACACCATACACACCCACACACACACACACACACACACACACACACACACACACACACACACACACACACACACACACACACACACACACACACACACACACACACACATATATCTATATAAGTTAAGTCATGTCATAATGTTCCTCCTCACAAACATGTTGGAATGACTCTTTCTTACTGTCTGACACTTAGTGTCAGTTAGTAGTACATCTCCAAAGTTCAAATCTGAAATCATCCAAATAATTCTAGTGTGTGTTAAACATGTGAATGAAACAAAACACAAGTCCAGGTGTGTTTGTGATGAGGAAATGACATTAGAACAGAGATCAGACATAAGTGTAATAATGTAATATGGGCCCTTTAATAAGAACCAGCACATAGCAAATCCAGTAGAAAAAGTTAGAAAAGTTACGTAATGCATCTTTAATAGGCCTATGAATTGGCCCTCTGGTTATCCACTGCTACATCACTGGTCCCGCCTCTGTTCTGTTTGAATCCAGAAGGATTTGTCTTTAAAACATGTTTTGTCACAGTGTGCGGCTCTGACTCAGGTAACTAGAATGCACCAGACATTTAACATTTGTTTCATCTTCAGTTCATGTTTTGCCTAATTTACAGGTGCATTGTGTAACATTTCTGGTAGAGGGTCTGTCAAATGCCCTGGTGATGGAGATATTATTGCTTTGCGTGGAATGTTTCACAGTATGGCATTAAACCTTCTATCTCACAGTCACAATGTCTGTTTTTTCTAGGTATTCTGAGCTCTAAAACCACCTGTAATTGAATAAATGTAAGATAGAGGTGTTTAATGTCACACTGTGGAACATTCCAGAGCAATGATACCTCCATAGAAACAAGCAGGTTATGGACTCCCAACCAAAAAGTGTCACAATGCACCTTTAAGTCAGTTATCGCACAAACATAACTGTGTATACTTACTTCACTCTTTTATATTAATATTACACTCAATTTCCTAAAACGTGATGACCAAAAATGACAAGAGTGTGCTATGTGTTGCTTAATAAATGTTTTATTATTTTAATGAAGCTGGGATAAATGTAAGTCAACTCTGCCCCCTAGCGGCAGACTCTGAGCAGTGCAAGTGATTATTCTGTTGCAAGGGGCTAAGTACATGTCAACACAGCATATTATAATGAATAATGATATGAAATAAAGAAAATAATAGATCATAATTAAAGTTAGGATCATTTGAAAAAGCACGGTCTACTTTTATCATAAATATCGGCAGACCTCTGTGTGTGTTTCATTTTCCTAATAGTTTTAACGCTCTAAATGACAGGCTACATCCAAACACGGAGATTACAACTGTTACACCATTAAACCCTCTCGTTTCCGCCGCTGTGGACTCCAACTCATGGCAGATTGGCGCAGATCCGGAAAACAATAGCAGAGTGGGAGGCGCCTTGGAGCGGCCGTGGAGGTGACGTACGGCCGGCCCCTGCGCTCTGCTGCTGTCGGCTCGGACTCGGATCCCGCTGGAGCTACTAGTCCGCTGCTAACCAACCACCAAACGCCGAGCACCTCCGGATCTCCTCCTTCCATGCATCTTCCTTGGCGGCGGAACACGGCCACGAAAATGGTGTGAGCGCGCGTCGGGTGCGATGTAGCCGGATGCGCAGTGGCAGTTTTGCGCGCTTACCTCTCGTGTCATCCGGTCACAGCTTCGCGTTTTCATCCCCGGGTGTCGTTAGCTCTGTCCGCCGTGGGTTTAGCCCGTGTGTCCCGCTGCTGGAGGATGCTGCGGCTGTTCGGAGCGGTGCTGGTTCTCGGACTGGCGCTGGCGTTCATCACCTCTCGGCTTTTGGAGAGCTACGATACGGCCTGGCCCAAGCGGAGCCTCCAGCGGACCGAAGCCGGGGATCAGCTCCGACGCAAGGGCAGCAGCTCTCCTCCGTACCCCGGCGCCGACTTGGACAATATCTTCTGGTTCATTCAGGTAGGATGCGACGCACGTCAACTCACCTTTTTATTGTCTGAATGAGAAAAAACAATAAAATCACAATTCGCAATTTACAACACAGACACAAGCAAGACAGCACGGAGAATCCAAGACAACTACAGATGAAATACACAACATTTATGGCATAGAATCATTTAGAACACTGGGAGCTGTTGGGGGGGAAAGCTATTAAAGATTTGACCAATTAAATTAGTGAAAAATCTGACTTAAAAATGCGACAATGGCCCGTTTCCAGTGCGTTTTCATGCGTTTTTATCAGGCTGTATCAATATGAAGAGATTGGAGAGATGTTGCGCACTCGAGTCGTTGAGGAGGCTCGTCTCTCGTGACAGGAATATTAGCTGTAGGCCCGTATAAAGGGATCGTTTCAGACCAATACACAGAGAAACGCTTAAACCAAGTCTCTCCGTGATGCAGGATTTAACCGAAGCCAGACCATCAAATCAGTTTTATGGCACTGGATGATAATGCGTAGGCTCTGGATCTTTAGTATCTTGGATGAAAATGCACCTTTAGATATTATTAATGGTCTTAATCCTTTTGTTGAGTTTGTGAAAGACACTAGACCTACACTTGTCATGATAAATAAAGCTCCAGTCACACGTTAGCTCACACTGACCCTGATCCTGTGTTGTAAGTCCTAAACAAGAGACCTGGACTTGTGTTTTGTTCCATTCACACATTTAAAACACACAAATACTGCACATTATTTAGGCTGTGTTCTTCTCTCAAACTGAAAACACTCTGTTCCGCCTTATGATGTCATGTGGTCATACTGATAACTGCTCCACTCACCTTCACTAGAATCGTTTGCATAATTGAACCCTCATTTCCGTTCTTTACTGGACAAAGGTAAAAGGAGCTGTTCACTTGAATACTACTGCTTCATGACATCACAAGGTGGAACAGAGCATTTGGAGCTTTGGAGATGTAGACAGACTAATAACACAGAGTTACTCAAACATGTGAATGAAACAAAACACAAGTCCAGCTCTGATTCTGAGGAGGAAAAATTAGAACATGATTTAAAACTCAAGAGTCAGTTTTGTGTGATATAGGAGTTTTAATTAGTCTGTTTAAATGCTCTTTCCGGCAGGATCTGGTGTTTTGCTATTTGTGAGTGAATCTTTAACTTGGTCTTGTGGTGCAATTTTAATGCCATACTGTGAAACATTTTAGGCAAAGTAATTACATCTTCAGATCCCTTAAATAATTGAAGTCTTTTCAATTTGTGGCCAGTCATTGGATTGCTGTATATCCTAGTCTACAGTACGAAGCAGTGTGTGAGTGGGTTTATAGCTAATGTCAGAATACAGACTGGCTGGATTGTAATTTTCTAGAGTTTTCAAAAATATTGAAAATCAGATACTAATACTATATAATACTAATACTAATACTAATACTAATACTATAATACTAATACTATATTAAAACTTAAGTCAATCCATACATCCATTTTCTTCTGCTTATCTGGGGTTGGGTTACGGGGGCATCAAGTCTAAGCAGGGACTCCCAGACTTCCTTCACCCCAGACACTTCCTCCAGCTCCTCTGAGGGGACCCCGAGGTGTTCCCAGGCCAGTCCAGAGACATAGTCCCTCCAGTGTGTCATGGGGCTTCCCTGGGGTCTCCTTCCAGTGGGACATGCCAAGAACACCTTCTGAGGGAAACATCCAAGCATCAGAACCGATGTCTGAGCCACCTCAGCTGTTCCTATCCATGTGACTGAGCTCCTCACCCTGTCTCTAAGGAAGCACCCAGCCACCACCACTTGTATCCGTGATCTTGTAAAGTACAGATAGAAAAAAATCCCATTGACAGGACAGAGCAGAGTCTTTCCTGAATGTCTGTAGCATGATGTTAAGCTGGATCAGAACAAGTATAAAAGCACAAAGACTAATATACACACACGGACACTATGAACCTACTGCACCACTGACCATTACACACATATAACACACATGGGAAGAGAAACAAAAGTTCTACCATTTAATGTGGAAAATCACAGGACATTGTCTAAAGAAAGAGTGTTTTTAGTATCGTCATGGAATCAGAATCTATATTGAGGAGTATCAGGTGTATTCCTCAGTACTGAAATTGAGAAATTTTTGTTACACAAGTAATAACTCTAAGCACAGATTACAGATTTGGTGGTACAGCTGTTAACAATCTCACCACACAACAAGAAGCTCCCAGGTTTTATTTCTGGACTCTTATGTTACGTCTTTCACTGTGCAGTTTGCATGTTCTCCCTGTGTCTCGGTGGGTTTCCTCTTGGTGTTTCAAATGTCCCATAAACATAAAACTGAACAGAGTAAACCCCCGTTAGTCCTGACACGATAACAACATTCAAAGTACTAAGTATCGCTAAACGATAATAATACTGAAAATACTTTATAGCACTGTTTAAGATTTAAATAAAAAAAGCATCATAATCTCAAAAAAACATTTTTCAATAAACATTCATTAAAAGATATGAGCTGCATCAAATAAAGAGTCAAATGTACCAATAATTATCCATAATGATAAAGAGTTATTCAAGCTTCTACAGCTCAAATCTTATCATAAATACTGTATCTTCATGCAGACCAAACCAGACCAAGTTACAGGTCAGATCTGTGGAGAGACGACCCCGCTCACAGTGAGAATGTGATTTTTCTTGGTATTTTTGAGCTCTAAAAACATCTGTAATTGAATAAATGTAAACACTTGGAACATTCCAGGCAGAGCAATGACGTCTCCATAGAAACAAACAGGTGACGAACCCCCCACCAAAAAGTTACACAGTGCACTATTAATTATTCTGAATAAAGTATGAATAAGGAATTCCAATGAATAAGGAATTCCATACTGCTATTGTCATAAAACTACAGACATCCTTCCAAATGACAAAGAACCTGTCCACAAATAGTTCCAAAATATATTGTCTTCTATATACTGAAAGGTAATTCTATATACTGTAGTATTTATTAGTGATGGGACAAGACAGTTTGTACAAGGCGAGACATGACATGAGATCTGGCTCATGAAAACGAGACAAGACGAGATTTTACAGTTTTAATAAATAAATAAATTCAGTTCACAATTCTGGCTTCAAAATGTTTTTATGTGTTTAATTTGACAGTTTGGGTGCATTTGTTGCACTGCTTTTTGGTAGCCTCAAGAGGAGTTACTCAGCAAAGTGAACCTTTTGAATCCAAGGCAAATGTAAAAATATGTGGGGAAAAAAATCTCATGAGATCATTTTCCTCGGTTTACAATCTTGTGGCAATTCTGTCTCGCAAGATCTTGCACCATGAAATCTTGTCTCAACTCCTTGTAATTCTCAGTGTAATTATCAGTAAGGTGTTACAACAGTAACAAATTACTGTGATGCTGTAACACAGTCATGTACGGCAGTGCAGGAAAAATGGGTACAATTTTACTCACTACAAATGTCAGTAATGTGCGTTACAATGCATTTGAACCTGGACTAAAGTGGTGTTTTTCTTCATAAAAAATCACTAAAATCACCTCGAGATCAGCAGAGGTGAAACGTCCGATCAGATCAGAACAGATACATAACGTCAATGTGAGTCACGTCAAAGTGTGTTACTAAAGACCCACACACACTACAGGAGAATCTGCCCAATTTTAGCTGCGACTAGCATGACCTGATTTTTGTCTTTGTGAGCGATTTTGAAGCTACTGTGCCCCTCGTGTGTGTGTGTGTGTGTGTGTGTGTGTCACTGTCTGATCATAACCACCAAACATCAGCAACAGCCAATAAACCAGAGTCAGGGGCAGAGAAGCGACAGACACAAAAGCACAACATACAAACTCAGCAAATCGCAAAAATAATTATTACTCACCTCTCATAAAGTTGTAAGCTTAAACTGCAACATCTCATCCACATTTTCCAACAGAATTTGTCCTCCTCAAATAATGATAAAGGTGAGTTTGGTTCCTCACGTGTGTTTACATCCACACAGCGCACGCATCGAGCTGAAGCTTTAGATGAGTGACAGTGACTCTACTTCCTGTTCAGCTCATTCAGACTCCACATCACCTTCCACTGGACGTGTGAGGAGATAATTGAGCATCATGAGCTACATTTCAATTGCCAAATCAATATTTCCAGTTATTTTGGTGAGAGTAACTTAAAAGTAATGCAGTTGGGCTCGGTCAAGCAGAAGTAAACAGCAAGGCCAAAAATTCAAGTTAATTCATCTGATATAAAAATGTATTGAACAGATACATATGCCATCCATCCATCCATTTTCGTCCGCTTATCCGGGGCCGGGTCGCGGGGGCAGCAGCCTAAGCAGGGACTCCCAGACTTCCTTCACCCCAGACACGTCCTCCAGCTCCTCCGGGGGGACCCCGAGGCGTTCCCAGGCCAGCCGAGAGACATAGTCCCTCCAGCGTGTCCTGGGTCTTCCCCGGGGCCTCCTCCCGGTGGGACATGCCCAGAACACCTCCCGAGGGAGGCGCCCAGGAGGCATCCGGAACAGATGCCCGAGCCACCTCAACTGGCTCCTCTCGATGTGGAGGAGCAGCGGCTCTACTCCGAGCTCCTCCCGTGTGACTGAGCTCCTCACCCTATCTCTAAGGGAGCACCCAGCCACCCTACGGAGGAAACTCATTTCGAGCGCTTGTATCCGCGATCTCGTCCTTTCGGTCACTACCCAGAGCTATGGTCATGAGATACATATGTACTCTAGTTTATGAAACTGTTGACCTTTTTTCTGTACCATTTTTGGTTCTAAAGTTCCATACGTTTTAAACAGACCATGTATGAAACATGGAACAAAAATTATGTCCCAAATTTCAAAGACCTGCAAATCATGTAAATAAATGGATGTATTTCATCATATCTTGTGTTATTCCATCTTTGAACTGTTGATGAAGGTACATGATTTAAAAAAAAAAAGTATTTAAAATGATAAAAATGTGCTTGGAAGGACTGACATATTTTATAGAAATAGTTTCCTTTCA